CTGACATCTTTTTGTAAAGGAGGTGTCAATGATAGCTATATATAATACACTCAAGTCTTTCTGACACAGCTGGGGAATAAGGAATTCTAGTCAAATATTCTATCCAATAAGGTTACCATATATTTTACATGGATCTCCGGTTTTCAAAGAGTTGCAATAGATCAAAAAACACCGAAGGCTATGTAGCTAGGGTGGTCCCAGCTGAGCTCAAAAGGGAATTATCTGGGTGTATGTGATTAACTAGAGGGAGTTGGTAGGCCCTTAGGGCTCTATTTGAATGACAGGATTTATGCTGGCATTTTATTTATTCCTGATTTCTGGGACAAGGAAGATCTAAGCTTCGATGACTGAACAAAAGAGAGGAAGGAGGGCAGTGAAGGGGTTTATGGTATTAGAAAGTATTTCAGGTAGCTAGGACTGAAAACACTTTTGAAAACATCTAAGGAGGAGGGGATCGGGAGAGAAGGGAAAGGAACTGTTTTTATGAAGTGTTCTATGAATCATGACTACTTATGCACTAAAGGATTTGTGGCAAAAAAAATTGGCACAGAAGGATATTATACTCTTGTTTCTGTGGTCCATATTTCTGTGGAAGGCAACTCCAAACAGCTTTATCAGGAAAAAAATCTTGTCCAGCTGGGAACTAGAGAAATATATGATAAACTGGGAGAGGCAGTGACTTTTGTTTTGTTCAGTCTCCTAGCTGGCTTGTGGGCAAATGTCAAAGGGTAACCATAACATGTTGTCAGCATGTATGCATGTGTGTGGCTACTCCAGATGCGCCCACTGGAATATAGGCTATAGGAGTTTGAGTTCAGTTTGAACGTGGGGGGGGGAAGAGATTATTAGGAATGTTTGGATTATTGTTACTAAGGCAACCTGCTTCTGAATTCCTAAGCGATGAGACTTGGAGACCTTTAGCTTACAAGGAAAACTAAATTATTCAAGACGCACATGAGGATCTTGCAGTTTTTCAAGGTCATCTTCACAATATCAATTAGCAGTTTATTGGCAAAGAAAAGAGAAATAAACTTATGAGGCATCTACTAGAGGCTTGGGAGTGATAAGATTCTAGACAATGGTTTTATTACTGATTAAGACTTAGTTAAAAATGTATTTCATTTCTTACTAAGTCCATCATTTTTCCCTTTCTTTTTTAAGGGGTACTGTACTAACCATCCCTTTAAATGCCAAGAACTTGGGAGATGAGGGTTTTAAAATGTGTCACAGTAACTTAGTCCTCTTAGATTAGAAATTATTGACAATATTTTTATGTAAAAATTCTCCCTTGCCTCTTTAAATTTAAATTGCCTTTAATAAAAGGAGGAAAATTTTTCTGAATATTATCAATTTAGTCTCGAGTCTAACTAATTGAAGATGCTCATTTTCATTTTCCAGTTCCAGTTTAGACTCAGGGACAATCAAGGCATTGTCAAGGAGATGATGGCCTAAGACAGGTGAGGACTTCTTAAAATTAAGTGTTTCTATGGCCTGAGAAATGCCTCAGTGTTTCAGTGGATTGGCTGCTTTTCTAGAGGACTTAGGTTGACCTCCTATAAACTTCATGGTTGCTCACAACCATCTGTAACTCTAGATCTAGGCTTCTGAGGACACCAGGTATTCAAGTTATGAATAGACATGCATTCAGGCAGAACACTCATAAAATATGAGGTTTTAAAATAATTAGAGATTAGAGTTACACATCAAAATTTTAAGTATATCCATAAATGAACATGGTTATACAGAGATTCCAAACAAGAAGTTCAGATTTTTTTTTCATGTTGGTTGGATTTTCTTCTAGAATTAATGCAGTTTCCTATAACATTTCATATACTTCGAGCAGCCGCTTTTCTGTGTTTTGTTCTGTTTTTGTAAAATTAAAGGGGAAACTTGGCATTGTGGTGTATGCATGTAATCATAGCACTAACGAGATGGAGGCAGGAAGACCAATTAATTTGAGGCTAGCCTGAGCACATAAAACCATGTTTCAAAACAAAGCTAAGAGTTTAAAGGAATCATTTTTTTAACACAGATGGAAGTTTATTTCTGAGAACCACACATATTTGGCCTTAGTTGTTATAATTCCCTGTAGCAGCAACTAACTAGTTTAACAATTACATGATACTCTGTCAGACTTTCTTTAGTATTGATCCTAGATTACAAAAGTTTCTCTCTGCTCTGTCACAGTCTAGTATTTCTTAGGAACCCATTGTTTTTTTCTGCTTCTACCTTCCAGATTTGATGTTTCCTAATGTAGAAGGAATACAGTCAGTATTACAGTTAAGCTGGCACATGGTAGAGGTCTCAAACTAACATAGTGTCCACATTTAGAAAAAATTGGGAAAAAATTAGATTGAGTCAAAAACTATTTCAGAAGTAGCATTATTATTATACAATAACACAGAACTTCATGATAGCCTGTTACAATTCAGCCTCCTAACACTTCACCATTTTATTGCTTATTTAAGAGCTGTTACCAGGATTATTTATCAAATAAATTCTTACATGTATTTGTTTTGCTGGGGGAAAATCTCCTGGGATAATTAATAGTTATGAAAACATCTTTTTAGTTCAGTCAATACATTTAACAACTTTGCAAAGCTTTATTCCTATATTTCTAATATATGAAGTATAGAATGAGGACCATTCTATACGGAACAAATATTTATTCAGTTCCTGGGTAACATATTATTTATTAAAAACACTCACACACACAGACAGAAGCAGCAGGAAACTGACAGATTTAAAAGAGAAAAGAAGTCTTTTCTATAATTTATTTGGAGCTATGAAAGTTATTGAGGTAAAATACTAGCCTCAAACACTTTCCCAACAGCTGAAATTAATTTTTATATTGTATGGTGGTGAAATCCATAAGGCTCACTGGTTTTGAATATTCTATTCAAAATATCTCAAAAGAAAAAAGGGTATTTGTGTAGTCAACTATTTGAACTAGTAGAGTGATTGAAGCATAAAGGAGATAAACAAAAAAACAATGTTTAGAAAGTATATAAATATGGAATTGAGGTTCTCCCATAAAACATTCAATTTGAATTTAAGAGTTATTAATTAATGTTGCCTATATGCCATTTTAAAAACTGATGAAATCTCAGGTAAAAGAACTAAAAAGGCAGTATACATTATGAAATTTGAGATGTTTTTAATTATATATATTATATATATCAGATACATATATATTTACATTTTGATTACCTTCAATATACTCACTAGCTGAATGATAGACAATATGAATGATATTAATAACAAAGAGCACCACTCCCTAGATATTACCTAATATCTTTTTCCATCATTTGAAAAAGGACTTCATCCGTAATGTCAGCTTCTTTTCTTTCTTTCTGTATTTCTTATCACTCAGAAGATAGCTCTCTCTGAGGAACCTTTTTTTGGTATGTGCATTTTGTTTATGCTACACATGCCAGGCAGATCTCCAAAGATGAAAGCACATGAATCAGAACTCTTATTTTCTTCTCAGCACTACTGGTATTTTATTGCTTCCATCTATAGTCCAATATGCTTTTAGCGCTAAGAACCCTGAGGCCAAACACACAAAGCACTAAGAAAATGGGAACTTCTAGCGATTCCAATTTTTGTCTCTCTTTCAGGGTTCTTCTCTCCCCTGAGAGAGTGAAATCACTTTAAGCTCACCATGAAACAGGTACATGGTGAGCATCAGTGATTGCCTGATGCTGGAGATGTTGATTTAGGAGTCTTTGACTTATAGGTCAGGTGTAAAACCCTTAAACATGCTTGTCAAAGTCTGCTGGTCAAATTCCTATGGATTTTTCCAGACTCTGCTCAAATGTCAAGGTCCTTATGAAGGCTTTTCTGGCCACCACAGGCAGAATTAGGCAATTCCTACTTTGTATTATTACTATATCCTAGCATATTTCTATATGTCAGGACACAGTAAATTCTAATGCATGTACTGGCTGTACTCACGGAATGGAGACAAACTATTTCTTCCCTTTATTTCTGGCCCAGAACATCAAATCATGTTGATTCTCAATAAATAATTGAAAGAATGGTCAGAGAATGAATAATAATACCCTTCATCTGCACATTATAGATTACAGGAAATCAATGCTCAGAGAGGTTATATGAGCAAACCCAAGTTCAAGACTGTCAATAAGTTGCACACCAAGTTTGCATGTCAGTTAAGTTATGCACAGTAAGCGATTAACAATAATGATGAAAGAAATAAATTATAGCAGTATCTTAAGATAAACGTTATTTAAAACCTTTGAGTTGTTTACCTCTTGAATCTTTTATTTAATTATTGAGATCTATAATTGATCTGAACTACAGAAAGTAAAACTACTGATAGGAGTGTTGTTCATGTGTTATAACTTTTATATTTTGAAAATTGATTACTTCTTATGAGCTATCATATTGTTAGCAGATCAGATTACTAATTATAGGTGAGCTGAAAAGTTAAATACGTGTCTTCATTAAGGGTCAAAGGCCAACCTCAGCTTTTATTCTCAGCAAAGACTTGAAAAGTAATTATGGTATTTAACAAAGTTTGGTGTACTTTGTACTATTATCAGAGTTGTTGATTCAACTGCTGAGATATACCCTGATTTGTATCTTAAGAACTAGGAAGTGGTTCCTCCAAGCCTATTCTTATCTAACATTGTCTAAACCATTTAATGGGACAATATCACTGACTAACAGAG